GAACGACTTGTGGTAATCCTTGACCGGAAGTCGAAGGATTTGGGGAACAAGAGGTTCGAGCTGGTAAAGGTGCAATAGCAGCACCAAAAAGGCTTAGAATGGACGTGGGAGCTAGAGGATGTGATGATGGAGCATTACCCAAAGCTTTTCAAGATAGACCAGCAGACTTCTAGGATGAAGTCTAAAATAAGTGGGGAGATTTGTTGCACCCGATTCTTGGTACGCACTTAATTCAAAGTATCTTTATGTTTTTCTCTAGGACTCGATGACTTGGAGTCCCAACTCGTCGAGTAGAGCCGGGATCCATGGACATTTTAAATGACCTACTCGACGAGTCGGTATACTGACTTGGCGAGTAGGTTCTATTTGAGGAAAATCCTAAATCTGAGAGTTTTCACCCTATTTAAATGCCATATTGCAGCCTCCATTGTCACTTATGCTCCAAGAACACCTCTCATCGAAACCCTAGCGGCTTTGAGTGATCTAAGGCCATTTTTAGTGCTTTTGGGTGGTTGTGAAGCTTGAAAGGAAGGGAGAAGCTTGGGAATTCGAGTTGGGGCTTGTAGATCTAGGGATCTTATTCCATCTTCAGCTCAACCAAGGTAAATTCCCTTTGTTTTGGTCTTCCTTTTTGGTTGTTCATCTTTAGGGCTTAGATTTTGGGTGCATTTAGGGCTCTCTAAGCCATTTTCAGATTTGTGAAGTGATTCATGGGGTTCTACTACCAGATCTGAGTCATTAGAGGGGTCTCATGGCATAAAGGTGCCAACTCTATGGCCATGAGACCTTGTAAAGCACCTTTTATGGATTTTTGAGCCAAAAACCCCATGCATGTGCATGAACTTTGGAACTTTACGAATAAAAGGTACATTAAGGGGCCAAATCTATAGTTTTGATGTGTTAAGACCCTTTTAAATCAGTTGTATAGTAATGGTCAAGGATGGACTGGTCGATTGTTCTTGGGACTTGGCGAGTCCAGGTGTAATGACCATGAAATCCATTCTACAAATGGACCGGTTGTTAGGGAGGGAAGTCTCGTAGATGTTTAGATGCGAAAAAGGACCTAACTATCATGGGACTCAATGAGTGTATGAACAGACTCGGCGAGTCCATGGCAATCTCCCAACCTTTGAAGACTTACTCGACGAGTTGTTCATAAAACTCGGTGAGTCGTAGACTGGACATGTTCTTATGAGGGAGATGAACTCGCCGAGTTCAAGGAAGAACTTGGCTAGGCGGATGAAGATGGTCCTGATGGTTAAATGAAGGAGAACTCGACGAGTTCTTGCTAGACTCGACGAGTGGAGTCGGGGTTGGATCGGGCTAAGTGAAGCATGGACTCGACCAGTTGGTAGACCAACTCGGCGAGTCAGGTCAACTGGACATTGACTTTGACTGGTTATGGTATTGACCTTGGTTAGAGCAGCATGTTCTATTTGATGCCTTGAGGATTGTCATGTAGGTATTATGGAGTTGAGGAAAGCCGACCTTCATGTCTAGGGCAGATCATACACTACACTACATCGAGGTGCGTTACCTTCCAGTAGAAGTGGGTCTAAGGCACAAAGGTCGGTCCACTAGTAGAGGAATAGTCGTGATGATTGTCTTTGTGATATTTATCTGGTGGTTGATACTTGATATGTGAGTATGGTTGTTTGCTTGATAGGTGACTATGCTAGTTTGCTATGTTATGTGACATAATATTAGTAGGAGGGGACTAGTCCCCGATTCGGTCGTAGGACCCATGGGTAGGTCGGACACCCTAACTATGTCTACCAGCATGATTGTGATATGGTATTATGTGTTAGTAGTTGGGGGGTGAAATAGCCTCCGTTTTCGATTGAGATAGACCGGAGGGTAGGTAAGCACCCCAGAATGGCTTGACATGGATAGGTTAGCACCCCAGAATGGCTTGACATGGGGTAGGTCAACACCCTGGAATGGCTTAACATGGGTAGTTCAGCACCCCATAATTGTTTTACAGGGGTTGGATGGGTGCCCCACAATTTCCTGGCAATATGTATGCTATGAGATTGTATGGTATGTGGTATGATGAGGGAGCTCACTAAGCTTTGTGCTTGTAGTTTTAGTTTTGGTTTCAGGTACCACTTCGTCCAAGGGGAAGGAGACGATGGTGTAGCAACGTGTCACACACGCACATATGATTCCACTTAGAGTTCTGTGGGATTGAACTCTGATATTTTATTACTTTCTGAAGATATGGTTTTTGAGACATGATACTACAGTTTTATGTATTGATTTGATTTTGGCTATGTCTTCACAAATTATTTTATAAACCTCTAAACTTAAAATGAAATTTTTGGCCATGATTTTTGGTATGTTACATTCATATTTCTGTTCATCCCTTAGCGAGAGATGAAATAGAGATATCCAATCAAATGGGTTAAGGCACGACAAATATACCAGTGTAAATTCAAACACCGAACTCGTAACACCTCGAGTGATTTTGAATCTAACATTTGGGAAACTTTCGGTTTTAATGGGACTACAAACCTTCACAACTGTAATCTTCTTGGAACTCTACGTCTAATATTGGGGCTTTCCATGCTTCAGATAAAAGGAGATAAGCATGACATTTGCATCGTTATCAGAATCAGGAGCTTTCTCAACTTTGTCAAAACTGAAAAACAGGAACGCCTTTGGAGTTATTGGAGAATCAAGCTGCAAATCCGAAGTGTTTTCTAATTCAAATGGAGTAACTGGCTCCAACCAGTAAAAACATAGATTGTCGATGACTTCATTCAAGATTTGTTCCATATTCCAAGGAGGGAAAAGAGATTTCTGAGTTTTTAAAGTATCTTGGGCTTCAAAAGAAGCCTTTTCTCATGCTTCAGCTTCCCTGTCAATTTGCAGATTTTCACCTATCTCTTCATCATGAGATTTACACTTAAGCTTTTCCCCTTCATCATCTTCTTCCTCATCATCATCATCAATCAACTTTCCTTTAACTTTTTATCCCGAAGATTCATTATCCTTCAGATCTTTTGACTTTGGCTTGTTTTCATGTTCATCGAGACCACCAACATCACCAGCACTAGTTGATTTCATAGTTTCTCCCCCTTGTTTTAGATGAGCACTGGATTCTGAAGATCCCTCAATCCGGTTTGACAAAGAGAACACTTGCTTAAGTTTGTCGGCCAGCTATTGGCAAACAGAGACTGTGAGCAGATAATCATGAGTCTCTATGAGATTATTCAAATAAATATTCACGTTAGCAATGCGACTCTTTATCACAACTTTCTTAGACTTGAGATAATCAATCTGTTGGTTTGCATGAGATAACTACACAGAAAGAACTTTTATCTTCTCGGTTTTAAATGCAAGTTCACCCATGATCTTGTTCTTAGAGGCCAGATCCTCTTGAAGCATGTCAAGCTTGGAAGTAATGGATGTTTGTAGTTCAGCATTGTCATTCTGAAGTTTAGTTCAAACCTTTGCAAGAGTTGCTTTCTCTATTTGAAGAGTTACACCAAGACTGGTAATCACCTGATTTGCTTTGATAGTGTTTTGTTTCGAACAGGTGCGAAAGTCCTCCATAAATTGTTTAACTTCTGAAAATAGTTTATCAACTTTTTTCGGTTGTATGACAAATGATTTGCTCTGAGCTCTCAACAGCCTTCGTAAATGCCTCAAGGGTCTTGGCATGTTCCTTTATCAAATTCTGTATTAACCCTTTGTGAGAGGCTAGCAGATATTCATAGTTGGAAGAAGACTTGGTAGATTCCAAGATTTTGTCTAAGTTATCATTGAGATTTTTGAAGTGCCCTTTCGTAACAGGGGCATATTCATTGTAACTTGAATGTTAAAAGGTGAATGGGCTGTTATGAAAATCTTTGAAAGCATATTGATCATTAACAAAGATAGTTTTAGGATCATCAGTGCAAAGAAGTGAGATGGGAGTAGAATCAGCACCAAAAGAGACACTAGAAGCACCTTCCCTCGTATCAGATACACTGACAGTTACTGGTAGTGTACTTGTGGTTGTGGTTGTTGATTCGGTGTAAAGAGGGGTGTATTGAGCCATGAATATATGTGGCTGTGAAACCCCCATAGTCACATTTGGACTTGGAGCAATTGTAATCGGAGTAGTAGTAGCAGTAGGAGAAGGTGGAGGAGTAAAAATCTGAAAGAAATCATCTGTGATCGGAACAGAAGTTAGCATTGAAAAAGTTACTTCGGATTGGTCTAAGTTGGAGATGGCTACGAGACCATGGGTTACAAAGTTACCGCAGTGTCATCATCATCGTTATAAACCTAAATCTCCTCCAAAAGGGGTTGGGACTCTAATTCCTCCTGAGCAATAGGCGAGGGAAACCTTGGCTTGCGAGCGGCCCTTTTGACCTTCTTCTTTGGAGATTGAACTGGTTCGGAGGGATCAAATTTAGTCTTTCTTTTTACTCCCTACATAGTCTTGTTTTCTTCCCGCAAAACCTTTCGAATTTCAATGGTTAACGGATGAGGACCCGATGCAGGTTTGTTCCTATACTCATTCATAAGCACATTATCGGTTGGAACATAGTTAAGCCTAGCCTCTAGAATTGATTCAATGAATGTGAAATTTGTAGGGTCTGGCACAATGAAATTCAAAGTGTGAAAATTTGGGATGGCTACGATTATACAACCCTCTGTCACCAGAATGTTGAAGCGAGTCATAGCCTCTGAACAAAAATAGACCAAAATCGAGCACAAGAAATTTCCATGTGTCGTGTAGAAGAAAGAGTGCTCTGAACTAATTGATCCCAAAGTACTGGACCATAGTCCATATTAATTCAAAAATATACTCCATAAAGAATAGTGAGAAAGAGCTTACTGGAACTGTCTGATCCTTTGACCCTCTTTGAGAAACTTTTAAAAATTAGGGTAAATATCCCATTCCACATTGAAGGAAGGTTAGACTTCTTGCACATGCATAAAATGGCATGATTTTACAGATACCCCATCTGGTAGAACATCTCTAGAATAGCGAAAGAAGAGATTGATTATGGATCCACTAAATCCCTAGATGCAGGAAATCCCATTAATCGACTATATTGGGCCTTGGTGATGGAGGTTTCTTGAGAACGAACCTCGAAAGTCATGATAGACCCACTTTCTTGATAACGAACAATAGAGTAAGCTTTGTATAAGTAAGACAAAGGAACATTTTCAAACAATGCGAGTGTTGGAGTTAAAGGAGACTGATGAAGGCACTCGATCAATGGCTGAAGAAAGGCGTTATACTTGGATGAGTCAAAATCCAAGATAAGATTCTGGTTGGGCTTAATACTTAGTAGCCCGAATGAAGCAGTTTGATCAGCATATGGAGTTTCAGATGAAGCAACCATGGTAACTTGGTGGAGAAGAAGATGAACAGTTCTGAGAGAAGAAATAATTTCTTTATGCTGGAAGTGGGATTTATTTGCAAACTCTAAGTGACAATGAAGTGTAAAATTTCATTTTATACGGTATCACAAGTGAGAGAAATCTGGCGTTTGGCACTCCATAATCCTTGAAAAAGCTCCTAATAAGGTCTGACAACAAGGCGTGTGTCATTCAGCATAACTGATAAGTGTGACGTCAGCCACTGTTTGAAATATTCACCCGCCCAAAATTGAAATCTTATCCCTTATGTTTCACCATTTTAGTTCTGTACTTTTGTAATAGTTCATCATTTTCCTATTCTCCAAATCTGAAAGTAACCATTCAAAATTATTAACACCGGACGTTTGGAAAATCACAAGGATTTTCATGCAAGAGTGAGCCAAAGATAACGAAATAAATATATATATATATATATATATATATATATATATATATATATATATATATATGTGTGTGTGTGTGTGTGTGTGGTAATCTGTTGTCACACCCCCGAACCGTCAGAACAGATGGCGGAAACGTCTGGGGGCGGGTGACGTTATACACACTACTAGAAAAACAGCCTTTTACGACGCTCATTGCGCGTCGTAAAGGGCTCAGACGACGCGCAAATGCGCGTCAAGGAAGGCCCTGTCATAAAGAGAGACGACGCGCTTTTGTGCGTCATCTATAGACGACGCGCATTTACAACGTGCATTTATGACACGCAATGTGTATCAAGAAAGGCCCTGTCATAAAGGAAGATGACACGCATTCGCGTGTCGTAACCTTACGATGCTCGTGTTAATGACACGCAATGCGTATCAAGAAAGCCTCTGTCAAGAAAGGTCATGTCATAAATGAAGATGACACACATTTTTGCGTATCATAATTTTAAATGTTTAAAAAAATATTATTTATAGATTTACTAATTTTCAAATTTAATTTGTATTTAATGTCTCATAATAGAAAATAAAATATCATATACAAAAAATACAATCCATTGCATAAAATTTAATGTCATACAAATAATCATATACAAAAAATACAATCCATTGCATAAACTACAAACCCTAACTATCTAACCTATTACTACATTGCTATTAAGGGACACCTTGTTTCAGATATCATGTAAAAAATAAATCCTCATTGTCAAAAAATTGGTTGTTGTCCATCGAGTGTAGATGACAAATAATGACTTGAACATTAGCTAAAACCAAAAAACTTTTATTAATTACACAATCAAAAAGCTGAAACCAAAAAGCTTTTAATTACACAAGAAACAACATCATCATGAGAAACTACTGACCTGCCCTGATTGGAGGAAGTAGTTTTCTCCAGCCAACTTTGTTGGTGTGGACTGATAAAAGTTATAGCATGTCCTAGCAAGCTGCAAATAATACATATCAAAATTATTAGCAACTAAAAAAGCAACAAAAATAAAAGACCTCTTCAGCCAGATTCAGGAACGTTCATTGATGTCTCCCACATGTCTCTATTTTAATAACTCATTAGTTAGTTTTATATATACAGCTACAGTTGTAATTTTATCTAGAATTAAAATTACCAACTCACTTATAAGGTTTTAAAGTTGCAGCTTTGTTTCCTTGTATCCACACTTTAATTAAATACTCATAGAAACTGCACAAAGTTACATTTTTACAAAACTTAATATACTGAAGATCATAACACCCTGATTTCATGCAGCAAATAAGTTATATAAAGATCATTAAGAATATTTGAGAATCATTTGCAAGCAAACATAAGTAGAAAAAATCTGGGTATTAATTAGATAAATATCCCATTTAGTTAACCTAGATAATAATCACCTAATCGCACTTTCACTGTGCATAGTTAGTCTTGAAGAATAGTTGTTGCACCTCTATACATCTGTAAATTATAATATATATATATATATATATATATATATATATATATATATATATATATATATATATATAAGTTAGGATTTAGATGATAATACCAAAATTTGGATGTGGACTTTGACTTACTGTTGATCCACAGTCACCATCTCCCACTTTGCCTAAATGCAATACCATCTATATGTCAGATGTCATTTACATTTTACACTTAATTATTAATAACAGGATTTAATCTCAAATACCTTCCTCCAAGTTTCTAACTTAGGGGATCCATAATCACTATGTCCCATAACTCATTCCTAGAAGCAGCATTCTTCATGAAAATAGTTGCCTCTTGTTTTAGGAATGATATCCTCCCTGGATCCAGATTGTTGATCGATAGTGACACCCCTGTTGCGATACTCATGAAGTTTGCGACATAGATCCTGATTTGTATCTTCAAGCCAAGAAATCCGCTCCCTTAGGACCTAATTAATGTTTATGCGAAACAGATTTTATGACAATTTTGTTATGTGATGTAATTTATAAAATGAGTAATAAGTCATATTGAAATTTAACTTCTCTGTCATAAAGGCAGACCTTTTTCACACCAATATCTGAAAGCCACTCCAAAAGTTCAATACCATAGAATCAAATTTCTCCAAGAACACTTCCTTAGACATCTTCAACACTCCTACATACATACATACATACAGATATCAGTACATCTTAATATGTTATGTGATGAAATTTATAAATTCAAATAATATTAGTTATAATAAAAATAAAATGAGTAATAAGTCATATTGAAATTTACCTTCTCTGTCATAAAGGCAGACCTTTTTTCACACCAATATGTGAAAGCCACTCCAAAAGTTCAATAACTTTTGAAGTTTCACAGGCTTCATCACTATCCACCACAATTCCAAAATACTTCACTCTGTTTAAATTCAGATCTTCATATGTTTTCACAATTCCATTTGCTATAAGATAACTTTCAATTGCACGCATCTTCTCCCAAACACAATGTAACAGCTCAAATTTTCAAATAAATTTTTCATTTAAAATAGAACCACATTATTCAACAAAGTATTTATTTCAAGTTCATTTCAAAATACAATTTAAAGAATCCCCAAGATCTCCAACAATGGCAGTGTGTACGCGTCACGCCGACGCCTTCCCACGGTCGTCGCTAGTACCTGAAACACATACATACAACTTGTAAGCATAAATGCTTAGTGAGTTCCCCAATATACGACTTACACATATACGCCTTTCCAGGCCCTAACCTTCCGGTCCACAATACATTGCCTTCCGGCCCGTAACATAATCGCCTTCCGGCCCATAACATATCGCCTTCCGGCCTGTATCATATTGCCTTCCGGCCCATATTATATTGCCTTCCGGCCCATAACATTTACAACACATAATACATATAACATAACACACATAGCACATACATCATACATCATACATGTCCTTTCTGTCACATAATATATCGCCTTCCGGCCCGTATAGACGTACATTTCATGAATAGCATCTACCTTTCTAATTATAGCATAAATAACACATATCACATACGACCTTCCGGTCTCACAGTCAAACCCTTCCGGGTGAAGTATAGTGAGAAAACTCACCTCGTAGTATGCAAGCTATAAACCCTTGGAGCTACTCGTACTCGATCCGCTAATCTGCAGGCTCCCTATAATACCACATACTTTTATTAATAATCTTATCAAACAAGACAACTGACCCTACGAAATTACATACAGGTCAACGGTCAACTTGACCGGACTCGTCGAGTACAAAGGCGACTCGACGAGTCTAGACGTCCTCCCCAACTTCCCGGTTGTTCCCCTATCTACCCGTCGAGTATCCCCCTTAACTCGACGAGATCCTCATGGAAGAATCGCGGGGCTACCCCGACTCCACTCGCCGAGTCTAAAGAACGACTCGGTGAGTCCCAGTAAATCTTCAAGCTACTCGCCGAGTCTGAAGAACAACTCGGCGTGTCCCAGTGAACCTTCAAGTTACTCGCCGAGTCTGAAGAACAACTCGGCGAGTCCAAGCGGATCTTCAAGCTACTCGCCGAGTCTGATCATTGGACTCGGTGAGTCCATGCCATGCAGTCAATCACCCGTCTCCTTTAATTCGCATGGTTCCGAAATATATTGACATGGGACTTCCTGGACCTTTAAACATACTATTACTGGGATTTAAACGCTTGGTAACAACACTATAATCTATCTAATCACTAAATGGGTTTCCTAAACCCTAGATTCGTGTACAACACCAAAACAACAGAAATGATCCGAGTATTACCTGGAAAACGTGTTCTCTGTGTCCCCAACCTTCAGAGCACAATCCTCTTGATCCTCCTTTGACCACAACCTTGCCTCTTCTTGCCTAACAACTCCTTCAAGTTTCCACTAGCCTTCACTCCTGCTCCAGATGCCCACAGTCGTTTAGGTTATCTTCAATCGGCCAAAAGACGAGAAATGACGGCCCTAAAGACGTTATATACGATCCAGAATCAAAAACGGCTAGGGTTTCTGCTGAACAGCGTCGACTCACCGAGTCCCTAATGGACTCGTCGAGTCCAGTCGCGAACCTGTGACCAAGACCATGGTCCTACTCGGCGAGTCAGGCACCAACTCGCCGAGTCCCCTCCTAAAAATGCCCCAAAAATAGTTTTAAAGCAATACCTGAAATTCCGGGCTGTTACAACTATCCCCCACTAGAACTAGACTTCACCCTCGAAGTCTCACTCTGCGAATAACTCCGGAAGTTGCTCCCGCATTTCACGCTCCGGCTCCCAAGTCATCTCCGATCCCTTCCGATGTTGCCACTGAACCAACACCAGAGGTATCTCCTTGTTCCGCAGAACCTTGATCTTCCGATCCCTGATAGCTACTGGTCTTTCAGCGTAATTCAGGCTCGCATCCACCTGAATATCCTCTAACGGAACCACTGCCGACTCATCGGCTATACACTTCCTCAACTGTGATACGTGAAAGGTATTGTGAATCTGACCCAACTCCGCTGGCAACTCCAACCGATAAGCTACCCGACCTACCCTTGCAATTACACGAAATGGACCTATGAACCGGGGCCCCAATTTGCCCCTCTTTCTGAACCGGATCACTCCTTTCCAAGGAGAAACCTTTAGGAGAACGAAATCGCCAACCTGGAATTCGAGCTCGGACCGGCGTCTGTCCGCGTAACTCTTCTGTCGGCTCTGGGCGGTCAATAACCTCTGCCTAACCTGCTGAATCTGCTCGGTCGTCTGAAGTACGATCTCTGTACTGCCCATCACTCTCTGTCCCACCTCTCCCCAGCAAATGGAGTCCGACACCTCCTACCATACAACAACTCAAAAGGTGGCATACCAATGCTCGAATGATGGCTGTTGTTGTAGGAAAACTCAGCCAAAGGCAAATGTGCATCCCAGCTACCCCCGAAGTCTAACACACACGCTCTAAGTATGTCTTCCAATGTCTGAATCGTCCGCTCGCTCTGACCATCTGTCTGAGGATGGTATGCGGTACTAAAATGCAGTTTAGTACCCAGCTCCTCATGGAATTTCTTCCAGAACCTGGAAGTGAAACGTACATCGCGGTCCGAAACAATCGAGATTGGCACTCCATGCCGAGATACTATCTCTCTCACGTATAACTCTGCCAACTTCTCTGCTGATGAACTTTCGCTAATGGCAAGGAAGTGTGCACTCTTTGTCAACCTATCCACAATCACCCAAATTGCATCGACTCCTCTGGCAGTTCTCGGCAATTTGGTGATGAAATCCATCGTAATCTGTTCCCACTTCCACTCAGGAATCTCCAAGGGCTGCAACTTACCATGCGGTCTCTGGTGCTCGGCCTTAACCCTACGGCAGGTCAAACACCTCTCAACGAACCAAGCGACGTCTCTCTTCATGCAAGGCCACCAATATTCCTTTCTCAAATCCAAATACATCTTCGTAGCACCGGGATGGATCGAGAATTTCGATCTGTGAGCCTCCTCCATCAAAGTAGCACGCGTACCGCCCACGAATGGTACCCAAATCCGACCCTGAAACGTCAGAAGTCCTCGTCCATCCTTAACGAACTCTGAAATTAACCCGACGACCCGCTCCTTCTTCTGCATCTCGGATTTCACAACCTCGGCCTGTGCCCCACGAATAGCATCTAATACCGGAGTCATCACCGTCAACCTCAGACATACGTCCCGCAATGAAGTGCTCTCCGCCCTACGACTCAATGCATCGGCTACCACATTAGCCTTGCCTGGGTGGTATAGGATCTCACAGTCATAATCCTTAACCACGTCCAACCATCTCCTCTGACGCATATTTAGGTTGGGTTGATCCATCAAATACTTCAAACTCTTATGGTCCGTGTATATAGTACAACGAACCCCGTACAGGTAGTGACGCCAAATTTTGAGAGCGAACACCACTGCCCCCAACTCTAAGTCATGTGTGGGATACCTCGCCTCGTGAGGCTTCAGCTGCCTCGATGCATAAGCTATCACATGGCCCCTCTGCATCAACACTGCACCCAGTCCTGAAGTCGATGCGTCGCAATATACGACAAAGTCCTCCATCCCTTCCGGGAGAGCTAATAAATGGGGCTTCGCACAATCTCTGACGAAGTGTCTCGAAGGAAGTCTGCTGCTCGGGTCCCCATGAGAATGTGACACCCTTCCGGGTCAATCTGGTGAGCGGTACAGCGATCTTGGAGAAATCCCTAATAAACCTCCGATAGTACCCCGCCAACCCAAGGAAACTCCTGATCTCGGAAGGTGACTTCGGTGCCTCCCAACTCATCACTGCTTCCACCTTGGCCGGATCAACCAATATCCCTGCCTGATTAACAACATGTCCCAGAAATTGGACCTCCCGCAACCAGAAGTCACATTTGGAGAATTTTGCATATAGCTTCTCCGACCTCAGTACCTCAAGGACCTCCCTCAAATGTCCCTCATGCTGCTCTCTAGACCGCGAATACACCAGGATGTCGTCGATAAATACAATCACAACCGATCCAGCATCGGCCTGCATACCCTGTTCATGAGGTCCATGAACACTGCTGGGGCATTGGTGAGCCCAAAAGGCATCACCACGAACTCGTAATGCCCATACCGCGTCCTAAATGCTGTCTTCTGGACGTCCTCATCCCGCACTCTTACCTGATGGTACCCTGATCTCAAATCGATCTTGGAAAACCAAGATGCCCCTTGCAACTGATCGAATAGATCATCAATCCTCGGTAACGGATAGCGGTTCTTGACCGTCACCTTGTTCAGCTCCCGGTAATCGATACACATCCGGTGTGAACCATCCTTCTTCTTGACGAACAGAATCGGTGCTCCCCACGGCGAGCTACTCGGCCGAATAAATCCCTTTCCCAACAACTCCTGGAGTTGCGAGGACAACTCTTGCATCTCTGGAGGTGCAAGACGATAAGGCACCTTCGCAATAGGCGCAGCCCCTGGAACCAGATCGATACCAAACTCTACTTGTCTCGCAGGAGGTACTCCCGGCAAATCCTCGGGAAAAACATCTGGAAACTCGCACACCACTGGAACCTCCTCCACTGTCTTCGGTCTCTCGGAAGTCTCCCGCGTATCCATCACATACGCCACAAAACCTTTACATCCCTGCTGTAGGCATTGCCTCGCCCTAGCGGCCGAACAAAAAGCTGATCCCGAACGGGTACCCTCGCCGTATACCGTAAGAACTCCCCCACTAGGGTCTCGTATAGTCACCAGCTGACGCTCGCAGTCAATGACGGCGCTGAATCGGCTCAACCAGTCCATGCCTACGATGACACAGACATCCCCCATCGCAATAGGAATTAGGTCAATCGGAAACGCAACCCCGAAAATCTCTAGCACGCATCCCCGAAGAACCTCCGTAGCACAAACCACCCTCTCGGCCACAATAGAAACGCTCAAAGGCCGACTTAACGGCACACGACTAATGCCGATATGCTGACTAAAAGCTAACG